GAACTGTGCGGGTTAGAGTATTTTCTAATTCCAGGGTTTAAAAAGACTGATACGCTGGCAAACGCAGCGTACTTAGAGTCTGTTAAATATCCCTGTTCTCTGGGGGAGGTCCTATAAATTCTCCCCTGTAACGTATACACGTTCTGTACAAGTGTTTTTCTAGAAGAAGATGGAAACAAAGAACCTGTTTTCTGCCGACTGTTTTTTGTATACTGCGCAGACGCAACGAACTCGTGTTCTTTATTTACACTTTTGCAGTATATTTGTCGGATTTAGATTTAGTTGTATTAAAGAATGTTTTGTGATTATTTTGTGCTGAAATCTGCTGACAACTGTGATAAATATGTTTCTAAATATTAAAATATTCTTTTACATGTTTTTTTTTGTATTGGATATATATGATAAGTATGGGCTTGTTCACAGTTTTTTAATGCCTGATGAGTATGATATCTTTGTTCAATGAAAATGATTTGTATTATGCTCGTCAATGCTTTTTCTGTGATCCTAAAAAGATTTTATTTTTTATCAAACTGAAGTACCGTTCCTCAATAAAACTTGAAGCCCTAATTCCTGTGTTTTATTCATCATGAGAAGGAGTGAGAGTAGAGGTGCTTACGGTTCGACCCAAAGAAACTTGCAGCACGGTATTTGATTTTTGTATTAACCAGGGCTACGCCAGTTGCGAAACAAAGACTCTTGGCCAATTTCTGAATTTATAGAAATAAAATGTTTTCCTTTTATTTTAAAATTCAAGTTAATTCAGTTTTAAAATATTTGATGTTGGGAGAAAATAGAATGTTAAGAAGTAGTATACCACTTACTAATATTGATATTTGAAATATGAACCTTAGCTCAAGGAGGAGGAGGTAGAAGTTTGGAAGATATTTATAGATAGATAGATAGATAGATAGATAGATAGATAGATAGATAGATAGATAGATAGATAGATAGATAGATAGATAGATAGATAGATAGATAGATAGATAGATAGATAGATAGATAGATAGATAGATAGATAGATAGATAGATAGATAGATAGATAGATAGATAGATAGATAGATAGATAGATAGATAGATAGATAGATAGATAGATAGATAGATAGATAGATAGATAGATAGATAGATAGATAGATAGATAGATAGATAGATAGATAGATAGATAGATNACAGATAGACAGATAGACAGATAGACAGATAGACAGATAGACAGATAGACAGATAGACAGATAGACAGATAGATAGATAGGGGAAAAGAAAAGGAATGGAAAAGAGAATTTGAATGGGTGGAAAGGGAATAAAAACGGAATGAAAATGGAAAGGAATGGATAGGTAATGGAAAAGGAATGGAAATGGAAAAGGAATGGAAATGGAAAAAGAATGGAAATGAAAAAGGAATGGAAATGGAAAAAGAATGGAAAAAGAATGGAAAAGGAATGGAAATGGAAACAGAATGGAAATGGAAACGAAATGGAAATGGAAAAAGAATGGAAAAGGAATGGAAATGGAAAAGGAATGGAAACGGAAAAGGAATGGAATAGGAATGGAAAGAGAATGGACGATGAATGGAAAGGGAATGGAAGAGGAATAGATAGGGAATGGAAGAGGAAAGGAAAGGGAATGGAAGAGGAATAGATAGGGAATGGAAGAGGAAAGGAAAGGGAATGGAAGAGGAATGGAAAGGGAATCTAGCAAAGGGATTGAAAGAGAAAAGTAGGAACAAAAAAGGAACAAAAACAAAGGAAAGGGAATGAAAAGGGATATTAAAGAACTAGAAAAGGGAATGGAAAGAGAATTAAAAGGGAAAAGAAAAGGAAGGAAAAGGGATTGAAAAGGGAATGGAAAGGGAATGGAAGGGGAAAAGAAGGAAAGGAAAAGTTGAGAAAATTCAATTCTAAATTTTCAATTAAATTTTCACTTGTCAAAGAAAAGAATTTCAACTTTTAGTGAAATTAGTTCTGTAAAAAGGAATTAAATATCTGAATCCGTTTAAACTTCTCGTTCTCAGTTCTCTTGTGTATACTCTACACTGGTGAGAGATTGACTTTTTCTCAACTAGCATTTATACAATCCTATCCTACTCTTCCTACACTCTACAGAACTTTTAGAACATAGATATACCGGGGGGAGGGTCATTTTATTGGATAATCAATAATAACTAATTATTTGTGTGATAACTCACGTTACCCAATGGAGTTTTAGCTATCCAAATAAAAAGCATTACCTAAATAAAATAAATCTAAAAAGATTTAGTAAATCTTCGATTTAAAACTAAAAATACGCAAATTTTTATTGTTATTAATTCAAAATGTACGAAAGCCTTGCAGGAAGATCAGCGACAAAAAGCTAAGCTTATTTACAGAAGCACCTGGTAAGCACCTTGTAAACCTTCAAATTTATAATGTCTAATTATTGACTAAAACTGATGGAACTGCGTTTTAGCCACAAAATCAAATTTCCTAGATCCTATATTATTGCAACCTGACGGTGAAAACATTTGATATTTCAAACTCAGATTATTTGACCTAACAGAATTTATTGTTGAAATATCAAAGGTATACAGCATCGGGTTGCATCTGCTCAAAAACTCATTTATAATTTAATTTAGATTTTTCCTGTTCAAAATATTTCGCAATTATTCCTTTAAATTAACATATTTATTGGTTCTCACTGTATGAGAAAATATTTATTGGTTCTCACTGCATGAGAAAATATTTATTGGTTCTCACTGCATGAGAAAATATTTATTGGTTCTCACTGTATGAGAAAATATTTATTGGTTCTCACTGTATGAGAAAATATTTATTGGTTCTCACTGCATGAGAAAATATTTATTGGTTCTCACTGTATGAGAAAAAGTCCATTGCGATTAATGATCAAGCGATATCGAACATTATTATTATATTTTTATTATATGTTTATTGGAAACCCAGCTTTAACTGGAAACTGTATTTCCCCTAAAAACTGAACTTAGAATCTGAAAACCTAGTTATAAGAACATTCCTATGGTTCTTCCGAGTTCCCCCAATCCAAATTTATGAGGAAAACCAGCCAAGGGTTCCTGAATTAAACAAAGAATACAACTTTATGCATATAAAAATATTAGATTTTAATTATTTACGGATTAGAGAGAAGCACACACAATGAAGAGTTTTCTAAGCTCTTGTTAAATTCATTTTCTTATTATTTTACTCAAATCCTCCTTTCTTTCATTCTTTATCTTAGAATTTAGGGAGCTTCGCACACCTATTTCTAGGAACAATTTTAGAATTAAAATGTGACTATATAACTTTGAGCATTTTTGTTTCGTATATTATAAAACAACAGAACTAGAATGTTCTGCTTTTATTGGTGAAGTTTTAAAATCCAGATAATCAACATTTGACACTATTTTGTGATTTGTCTTGAAATACCAAGAACTGTTCTCATGAAGCTATGTAAGGTCACAAAAAATACTTGACCTAACCAGTTTCAGCAGTTTTAACTTTTGATTATATATAAAAATAACAAATAGATATATTAATTCTTATACTTAGATATACGATATAAGTACATACACATGTGTACAGTAATTTACAATTTAAAATAACTAATTGTACACAAAATCTAAAATGTTTAACGAACTTAGTATTATCAGCCAAATCTTGTCGGTGAGTTTTGCAATAACATTAACAGTTTCCCATTCACAGTTACATCCTCAGATGGTTTCCGCTTGAAAGAAAAAGCGAAGATGACAATTATTGCAGTTTAATGGTTATATCTGTTTATATATATATACATATACTGTAGAGTGGGTCTGTATCCAGGATAATTATATCAGACCTAGGACGGTTCTTATATTCTCCAGGGTACAAGATCCTCTCAGGAAGCTTTATATTATCAAGCCTTACTCCATACCAAGAAACATATAAATCCTTGCTACATACACTATGCTCGAATACTCTATATTCTAGTGTATCTATGTACACTGTACAGGATAGTTCCTTGATCCATACACTATACTCGAATACTCTATATTCTAGTGTATCTGTGTACAGGATTATCCACAAAGGATAATCTTTTAATTACGACGACATGGAAATATAACGAGACAAGGCAGGGTTAAATTTGCTATACAAAGGATAAGACTTTTTGTGACAACTCCCTAAGTTTAGTTTATGACCGGCCGTGCTCGGCATTTTGTAGAATCTCAAAAATCGTCTAAGACTAAACAGAAAACGATCTCGCTGTGCCGAAACGATTAATCTATGTAACAAAATATAACAGCTGTCCTTTAGTGTTATGGTTTGGCCGGCTATAGGGAATTAACCATAAACTATACACATGCGCCCAATACATACAATTGTAACAGTCTTCTTTATATATAAAATACTGTGTACAATGTTATAATGTAGTGTATACAGTAGACAGAAACTTATTTCTCTAGAGAACTGTCTCTAAAGGAACTCTAAAGGAACTCTAAAGAAAGCCTAGAAACAACAACAAAAATTAGATCTTCAAGCAAACTTTGTTCACTAACTTTTCCCAGGGTAGAACACTGTCAAAACATTTCATTTTCTTCACACTTCTTCACAACTTTATATCCTCACACTCATTCATTCATACAGTAGGATTAATATTAATATTTGAGCTTTTTCTGCAAAATTCTAGACTTTCATTTTTGCAAACATTTGTGAAATGTTTTAATTAAACGTTAATTTTCTAATTCCTTAATCATTTCAACCTGAGGCCGAATTTAAAGAATTTGAGCCGCGACTTAAATATGGTTGGTTCCACTTAAAATTGTTTTAAATTTTTAAGATTTAAGCCGGCGCTCAATTGAAACCGTTTTTTGGGGGATTTGAGACGCAGCTAGCTTAAATTCATTAAATTTGGAAACTGATGAATCTAACAGAATTCATAGTTTAAAATACGACTGTAGGTTACTAAGACAGAAATGACATGGATTTCAGTTCTTATTTGCGAACATGAAAAAGGAATTCCATAATCTTATTCATCTTTTATTTTGTTAAAATCCACTGATAGTATAAACCTTTCCTCTTAATCCATATCTTCCTTCCCTTGTAATATTATCCTCCTCCCTCCACTTCCCTCCAGACCCACGTCCTTCCCTTGTAATATTCTCCTCCTTTCTCCACCTCCCTCCAGACCCAGCATTACTATCTACTCCAGGCCTAGGTTGAAAACCCTGAGTTCTGGTTCCTGGATCCAGATCAGCTCTGTCCTTCCTACAAAATCAGGATTAAAGGGAATGTTGATGAAAACTTCAAGTGGAACATTATTCAAATAGTTACATCCACGATTCCCAAAGATAACATTCAAATTTTTGAAAAATGATGGAGATATCCTTAGGGCTATGGAAACGCATTAACACGGAAACGGACCAAAAAACAGGAAACCTCTTTAAAAAATTTTTGAGGCATTTCCTACTTTTCATAAATTTTTTTGGAAATCCGATTCCGGTTTTCCAGCCGGCCGGGTCATATATTTTTGAGGGATTTCTCAAATTTTCGATCCGGTTTTTGATTTGTTAAAAACCAGAAACTCGTTTAAATCTAAAGGAATTGAGTCTTTGCCGCTAACTCAAATGTTCTAATCCTTATGTATTTGCAACCTGATGCAGTATAGCCTTTGCTATTTCAAACTTAGATTAGACTAGAATTTAGTTTGAAATGTAAAAGGGCTCCGACTTTGGGTTGCAAAGATTTTGGGATTAGAAAAGGAACTCAGGTCTTGCCACAAACTCAAATCCCTATTTCTTTGCATCCTGATAGTGTAAACCTTTAATATTTTAAACATAGACTATTTCATATTATAGTTTGAACAAGAAAAGGTCTACGACATTGGATTTCAAAGATATAGCACAAAGATAAAGTCTGCTATAAAAAGTTGTATAAACTTTTAAAGTGTCGCGACACCTTGCACTTTGATTTTATCTCACAAACTCGCGTCATTTTTTGTATCCCTACACATACATGTGCATTTTGAAAATATAAAGACTTATTTCTAGCCTTAGTTTTAAGAATTGGCAAAATTCTTATCAAGTTTTACGTGAGGGATTCAAACCTTTGGATCCCTATTATAGTGATTAGAAAATTAGAGTTGCAAGAACTCAGTTTCTTTCAGTTTGTGACAAAGAATCAATTCCTTTTGGTCTAATATAGGGGGGGGGGGGGGGGGNTTTAGTTAAGAAATGTCTAACATTTTCCTTAGTTTAAACTGCAAATTCTCTATAACTTGCGGGTTTATGCAGTATACGGACAATTAAGAAATTTGATCGAATTTATATCTATTTAAAGGGACTGTCACCGCCATTCCAATTTTTTATTTATAAGATAGTATTTTAGTTAGGAAATGTCTAACATTTTCCTTAGTTTTAACTGCAAATTCTCTATAACTTGCGGGTTTATGCAGTATACGGACAATTAAGGAATTAGATAGAATTTATATCTATTTAAAGGGACTGTCACCGCCATTTCAAGTGACTCTTAATACAAAGATGTAAATATCCGATTCACAAAAGTACCGTTAAAGCCTTTATCTAATCAATAATATGGAGTTTATCTAATCAATAATATGGAGTTTATCTAATCAATAATATGGAGTTTATCAAATCAATAATATGGAGTTTATCTAATCAATAATATGGAGTTTATCTAATCAATAATATGGAGTTTATCTAATCAATAATATGGAGTTTATTGACATTTTTCTAGGTTTTAAGTGTTTAATTGTAATAATTTCTATATGTTTTCTTGACGTAAAAATGCGCAAGTCACTTTTGTAGAGAATCTACAAATGAAATAATCAGTTTTAAACATTATTAATATTTATATATATGTATAATTCATACTAGATCAGACGAAGCTTTTATAGGGTACAGTTATTTTAATCTTTGTATGAACCTTTAAAGAACTCCAATTAAAGAAATCGAAACAACCTTAAATGAAAGCTTTATTACCAAATTTAAAATGTTAAAAATACAAATAATTTGTTGAAATATTTATTCAGTTAAAATCTTTACATTTTGGACCACTAAATATATTAATACAAGGAAAACCGTAATATTCGCAGGAATCATTTTCTAGAATAAATATAAGAAAATGTTTCGAGAAGAAACCTAATCTCTCAAAGTCTTTTTTTTCGTTTGATATATTAAAGTATAAAATTTCTTGTATTTGGTTCAAAGGAAGTTTATAGAGAAAATATGTGGAAGCCGGAGAAGAATATTTGAATAAAAATACTTAAGCATGATTGATCTTGGCTTCAAGTACAAAGAGAGCTTGAATGGTTTTTATTTAAATAAGAATTTAGAATGACGAGAACCTTGAGGGTTATGTTATGCACGAATGTTAAAGGAATTGTTAATATCGTTCAATCTGATTGTATTTGTATATTTTTACTGAGAAATCAATTCCAAATGCTGTTTGTGACAAAATGGTAGGGTTGAGGTGTAGGAATTGGATGTTTGGATAGGTCAGTAAGGGAGGGACTCCCATAGAATAGGAAATCCCTACTTTCCTCCGATTTTTAAATGTTTCCCACTCTGCGGAATTTAAGGGTTTTTCCCATTGGAGGTTCACCGCATTACAAAATGGGGAGTTGTTGGCTTTGTGGCTCAGAATGTAGCATTTTTGACAGTAGTCCATTCTTCATGGTCGGAGTATTGCAGCTGGTTGAGTAAAAAAACGGCATCATATTGCATGGTTACCAACCTCTCAGGATTCTTTTTTTTATTTTCTTGTTTCCGGTGAGCTGTACTATATTTTCTTGTTTCTGGTGAGCTGTACTATATTTTCTTGTTTCTGGTGAGCTGTACTATATTTTCTTGTTTCTGGTGAGCTGTTCTATATTTTCTTGTTTCTGGTGAGCTGTACTAGATTTTCTTGTTTCTGGTGAGCTGTACTATATTTTCATGTTTCTGGTGAGCTGTACTATATTTGCTATGTTTGTTTATATGGTGTGGAACCGCCATGTTAATTTTGCACAGCGCTCCCCGGTTGAATACTCCCTGGCTATTTAAAGCAGAGAGAAGCTGAAATAAGCTTTATGCATATATTTTTCTATACGCACAGAGCTGAAAACTTGAGAATAGGATATCCTTAATCCCAATCGGTTAATCAATCTGAAGATTAATAACAAGAGGAGAACAAGCATTATTTAATCTCGAGATCAAGAAAAAGAGTGGATCAAGCCTTCATCCCGATATCCACCATTCAAAAGTTCCCAGCTCTGAACTACTTAACCTACAAATCAAGCCAATGTTTTGCTTTTGTATTTTTCTTCTTGGATTTAGTTCTCAATGTGAATTAACTAATAATTGGTTAAGTAACAATAAACAATGGTCGGATTGTTTTGTACAATTTGATACTAAACCCTAATATTTGAGTAGTACACCTTTGATCAACATGTAGAAGAAACCGTCGTTTTTCTACTGGAAAAGTGTTTATTTTTGTGAGTTTCTTTGTTGCTTCTTATAAACAAGGAAATCGCAAGTCACTTTCGCAGAGAAACCGCAAATGAAAATAAACAGTTGAAAGAAACAAAAACATTGATATCCAATTCATACTTGATTTGAAATAGCTTTTAAGGGTAGCATTTTAAATCGGGCATTGCCATCTTCTCAAGGAGACGCTTACAGTCCCTTTAAGTAAACAATTCCGTGGAGATCAATTAATCCTCGATCATGAGATTCAAAACACAAAAATTCTGACTTCTGATGGGGTTCACTGTTCTTCTAATTTTTAATGGAATTTCTGTTTTCTCTATATAACATCTGTTTTTTATGGAACTTTTTATAAACCCTAGATATGAGATGCTAATATTACCAGAGAACATTTTTAGAACGTAGAAATGCGCAAAGATGATTTATACGAGAAGCGATGTTTGCGCATTAACTTTACCTGAATATTTTTAAAATTGAGGATTTAAAAGTCTTCATCCGTAGAGAATATACAATGGGGTTAACCAAGGTGTTTACTGTCTGAAGATAGTTATTGTAAACAATGTATTATTAGTGTTACAGAAAGATTTAAGTACCTTTTTCACAAATAATTCGTCTTTTAAATTTAATTTTTACATAATTGAATTATTAAAATTTCATTTATGTACTATAGGCTTTTTTCTAAAGACACTTCTTTAAGCAAATCAGCTACGTGTTAATTTGAAATGTAAAATTGGTTCTCTTTCAGTCTAAATTGACATTTAAAAAAAAACTTAAGTTCAGTAAAGTTTCCTCCAATTTAGTTCCTTTAGACTGGGAGAGTGCCTTTTCAAGATATGTTCCTAGTTCCGTTTCATTTTCACAATCCCATTGGTTTGGAAGAAACCCCCTTGAGAAACATGAATCAAAATTTAACTTAATTCAAAAATGCATATTTTTATAATACATTGAATTTCCTTTAGCATATTACTGAGAATGGAAACTACACTGAAAAAGAAAATAAAAAAATTAAAAACAATAAATTTTATATTTTTAAATGTTAAATCGTGAATTTTACCTGTAAGTATCTTCTGAAAAGATGGTTGGATTCTCAATATGCAGGAACCAGCAAATTAGGTTTGGTACATAGGAGAGCAGCAGGAGAAGAACTATGGCAAATGTCGTCATTGCACCTCTAAATGATACGCATTCAAAAGAACTGATAATTCGCCTCAAGCTCTAATCCTTGTATCTTTACAATCTGATATTTCGAGCTTTCACTTTATATATTGATCTAATAAAATTCATAGATTTTTATTTCAAAGGTCTAAAACATCAAACATCAAAGATAGATTAGAAAATTTGAGACTGAGGCAAGTAATCAGTTCCTTGCTTCGAGTCGGATTTGAGTTTAGGTTTAGCCGATTGTCATTTGTTCCGATTTTGAAAGTGAGAGTTCTAACACAATTTTTGATTTTTTGGATGAATAAAAGTTTTCTAAACAAACTTTTTTACCCTTTTAGTTTGAAAGGTTATTTTTTTGTCGTAACACTAATATGATAATAGATTATCTTGGAAGTTCAGGGTTATCATGATTATATAGTGGGTCACCCTGTAAATAACAGTGCTAGAGGATTTGCAGAATGTAAAATGAAAAAATTTTAATTTTAATTTTACCTGATCTGCATAGCTCCCGGTTGGAACTCAAGATATCTGTACTTTTGGCGCCATTTATGGATTTCGTAGAAAATAAAAGCATAAAGGATAACAATGATCAGGATAGGAGCGCCGTAGAAGATAAATATAAACATATAGTTGTACACTGGTTTCTGCATTAGATTTAGCTCAAACTCACTGTATATCATAGTTTCAAACCCATTGTATATCATAGTTTCAAACTCATTGTATGTCATAGTTTCAAACTCATTGTATTTCATAGTTTCAAACTCATTGTATATCATAGCTTCAAACTCATTGTATATATAGTTTCAAATTTTACTCCATTTCAAATTTTCTCTTTTAAGGTATTTTTCACCTAAAACAAATTTTCATGTACATAATACCCTAAATTTTAAATGCATTATCCAAAAAAACTAAACCTAAGTTCCGCTAAAAAAATGGGCGCTACGACATCTGCTCTATTTCCATTTGCTCTATGGCCATTTGCTCTAGTTTCATTTTCTCTATTAACCATTTGCTCTATAGCTCATAGATAACGACGTTTGCTCTATATGTCATCTGTTCTAAACGTCAATTGATCTATGACATAACACGTCATTTGCTCTATAAACATTTTTATGACAGTGATGGTCCAATTGCTCTACTCAACATTTGCTCTATGAGTAAACACGTCATTTGCTCTAAAAACATATTTTACAAATATCTAATCATATTAAAACTATATTTTTACAATTTTACATTTTACAATTCTTCCTACAGTTTCATTATTCCACCAACTTCCTGGAAATAGTTTGTTTGTTTAGAGTAGAATACATACAGTTTTCACCACATATTAGGTTTTTTTATCCCTCTTATTATTGAGCAGTCTCTCTGTCATGATGAACTTTGAAGAACTGATGAAAACTGCAATTTGCGAATTTTCAAAAAAAACAATTCCCGCATTTCATAGTCAAGTTACGCTCAGGAATTCCAATCAAAGCTATTTTATAGTGTATTTTTAGGTTAAAGAGCAAATGGCGTGTTTAGTCCTAGAGCAAATGAGGTATAGAGCAGATTGAATATAGAGCAAATGACGTATAGAGCAAATGACTTGATAGAGAAAATGGAACTAGAACAAATGGCCATAGAGCAAATGGAAATAGAGCAGATGTCGTAGTGCCAAAAAAATGTTTCTGGGCGCCAGAACGTCTAAAACACTCGACCGTCAAAAGCTATTCAGAAAACCGGGATTTTATGGATTTTTTCGTTATTAAAAAAATAATTTTATTGGCTTGGGCCTCAGAAATATGAGCTGTAAGATTGACTACTGTGTTTTGAAAGAGGCGAACATTCCCTTTAAACTTATAAAATTATTCTTCTCCTTGAACTATTTTGCATTTTTGAATTTATTCTTATCAAGCAGAAAAGATTATTTCCTTCCTCAAATGAAGATTCTTAAAGCTAGATTTTGTTCAATTTTCTCCTAATTCTTGAAAATACTTTCCTACTTTAAACCAAAATGAAAATTCAAGATTTAGGATTGAGTAAAAAAATATTCCTGGCAAGGATAGGAATAAGACCAACCACCAAGCTTTCAGTCCAAATAAACAGAATGGTTCCAAACATAAACCTAAACCAACGAGAATATATATATTGAATTTTTTAAAATATTCTGGACTCATATTACCTTGGATTTGAGATAAGAGATGTTGTGTAGAAAAGAGGAGTCACCAGAGCAATAAATCTAAATATTAACAGAAGAAGGTACGTTAAAAGAAATGAAGGGTGAGAGGAAAAATAAAGAAGAGAAAGATAAAAAGGGTGAGAGGAAAAATTAAGAAGAGAAAGATAAGAAGGGTGAGAGGAAAAATAAAGAAGAGAAAGATAAAAAGGGTGAGAGGAATAATAAAGAAGAGAAAGATAAAAAGGGTGAGAGGAATAATAAAGAAGAAAAAGATAAGAAGGGTTAGAGGAAAAATAAAGAAGGGAAAGATAAGAAAGGTGAGAGGAAAAATGGAAAAATAAAGAAGAGAAAAATAAGAAGGGTGAGAGGAAAAATAAAGAAGATAAAGATAAGAAGAGTGAGAGGAAAAATTTTTTTTTAGATCTAAATATTTATTTTGTAGCAGAGATTAAGATATTACAATTGTATTACAAGTTTACAACTTTCATAAATGGAAAAACTAAGGGGGGACTGCACTTCCTTCAGAGGGGACCGCAAGAGGAAAAATTAAGAAGAGAAATATACGAAGGGTGACACGAAAAATAAAGAAGAGAACGATAAGAAGGGTGAGAGGAAAAATAAAGAAGAGAAAGATAAGAAAGGTGAGAGTAAAAATGGAAAAATAAAGAAGAGAATGATAAGAAGGGTGAGAGGAAAAATAAAGAAGAGAAAGATAAGAAGGGTGAGAGGAAAAATAAAGAAGAGAATGATAAGAAGGGTGAAAAGAAAAAACTAATAAAAGGGGGAAAACAAAGATTTTAAAAAAGAGGAGAAAGAGAAAGTGAAAATGAAGAAGGGAACGTTATCAGTTGGAGAAGAGGCAATGAAGATGGAGGAAAGGAAAACTAAAAAGGAGCAGAAGGAAAGAAGAAAAGAGGAGGAAATAGAGTTAAAAAGGTTGTAATGGGAAGAGAAATATGAAATGGAGAAGATGCATGTAATCTAAAGTAAGGAGAAGAGGAGAAGAGAATGTATGGATACTAACCTATCAACAGTAAGGAGAAGAGGAGAAGAGAATGTAAGGATAATAACCTATCTACAGTAAGGCGAAGAGGAGAAGAGATTGTATGGATACTAACCTATCTACAGTAAGAAGAAGAGGAGAAGAGAATGTATGGATACTAACCTATCAACAGTAAGGAGAAGAGGAGAAGAGAATGTAAGGATAATAACCTATCTACAGTAAGGCGAAGAGGAGAAGAGATTGTATGGATACTAACCTATCTACAGTAAGAAGAAGAGGAGAAGAGAATGTATGGATACTAACCTATCTACAGTAAGAAGAAGAGGAGATGAGAATGTATGGATACTAACCTTTCTACAGTAAAGAGAAGAGAATGTATGGATACTAACCTATCTACAGTAAGGAGAAGAGGAGAACAGCATGTATGGATACTAACCTATCTATAGTAAGAAGAAGAGGAGAAGAGAATGTATGGACACTAACCTATCTATAGTAAGGAGAAGAGGAGAAGAGAATGTATGGACACTAACCTATCTACAGTAAGAATAAGATGAGAAGAGAATGTATGGACACTAACCTATCTATAGTAAGGAGAAGAGAATGTATGGATACTAACCTATCTATAGTAAGGAGAAGAGAATGTATGGATACTAACCTATCTACAGTAAGGAGAAGAATATGATGAACGGAGGAAATTGAGAATATATTTGGTAAGGTTATTATATTATACATCAGGGTGTCCTTAAGGAATAAAACATTATTTGATTTTATAGATTTCATACTTTAATAATTATAAATTTTGTTACTTTCCTGATGTACTCCGGTAAAGCAATCACGGTTAAAATCACGGTATATCATAATTGGAATGCCTTAAATAAAACATTGGAATTTCTTAATTGAATTTACTATTTGAATGCTTGAAATAATTTTTGTAATACCTAAATAAAGTAATTTTTGTTACCAAATAAACAACCTATAAGGTTGAATTCAGCATGGCATATAATTTTTAACTTAATGAGTGTATCACTAGAATCTGTTTAGACGGGGCTGATTGATTTGGTGTACAGTACCATTTTGTCTTATATGGTCTGTTTGTTTGCTGTACGTACATGCTTGCTCTAGCTGCCTAAAAGTCGACCCGGTACTTGAAATGAACCGGAGTTTTCAGTGGTATTTAAGCAAGGACAAGGGAGTCCCCTGGTGATAAAAGGCCCATTAACTTAAGTTCAATTCTTGTTTAATGAAAAGGTATTCTCCCAAAGACAATGTTATGAAAAAAATCATCTTTAAAAATTTTATAATTGGGAAATTCCATTGAGAAAGAATATTTCATTTTACAAGAAAAATGGATTCTTCTCAAATATACAATATCTTGTAACTTAAACTAACAGTCAACACATGCTGACACTTCAAATACTTTGATCTATTACTTGAACATTGTCTTTTCCCTGTTATATCTAATTCAACCCGAATTTCTCATTCTAGCACCACTTTGATTGATCATATTCTTGTTAAAAATCTAAATTCAAATTCAAAATCTGATCATTGTCCTACTTACTTCTTACTTGGTAATAGTGTATTTGATAATTCCAAAGCCAAGAAAGTTCGAACTAGAATCATAAATGAAAAAAGCAAGGCAACATTTAATAGTCTTTTAGCTACTTTAAACAGGTCGGGGATTTTAAATGAATAAAGACAATAGTACTCTACTAAAATCGATAAATTCAGAAATGATTCTAAAAAGACTTGGGAGGTTGTAAGAGAGGTTTTGGGCTCAGTGAAAGATGAATCTAATATTCTTAGCTATTTCTCTGATAATGAAAGTATTGTACAAGGGAATTATAACATTGCACATCAGGGGTTTAACAAATTTGTTTGTGAAATTGGTCCTAAATTAACTGAAAACATCCCAAACAGCACAGAATCTTATAAAGACTGGAAATGAAATTGAGAAAAACTTTGTCTTTAAAAATATTACAATTGATGCAATTCTTGACATTATAGGATGTATAACTCAAGCCTAAGAACAGTGTTGGATTAGATTGTTTATCTAGTAAACAGCTCAAGGATGTTTTGCCATTATTAGCTGAGCTGATTTTGCATGTGTTCATCCTCTCTATTCAAACAGGTTGTATTCCAAATGAGTTTAAAATAGATCGTGTTATCCCTATTTATTAATCTGACTCTGAATTTCCCTTCAACAATTACAGGCCAATAAGTCTTCAATTCCAGCTTTAGAGAAAATAGTTGCAAAGCAAATGTGTGGGTTTATTGAAAAAAATAAGATATTGTTCGATTTACAGTTTGGATTTAGAAAGAATCATAATACGACTCAACCCATGATTCATTTTCTAGACAAGATCTACAATGCATCAAACAAAGATAACCCAGAATACACAATTGCAGTGTTTATTGATCTCAAAAAGGCTTTTGATACAACTAGTCACACAATTCATATTGATAAATTAAAACACTATGGATTTAGAGAGACTGCACATATCTTTGGTTTGCAAATTATTTAAATAACAGATTCTGAAACATGTGCAATGTGCATGTCGTATGTGCCATAGTGGAGAGGTACGTACTCCATGTCCCCTCCATTGCTCATTCCTCATAAGTACTATGGCGAAGAAATTACTACACCGCCATAGTATAAACTCCATATTTCCGCTATATCTCCTATGTAGTAGGTGCGATGGGGAAGTACTTACGTATCACTATAGTATATATACTCCATATATCTTTATATACTTCATGGTATCGACATCGAAGTGTTTATAAGTTTAGATATCTGCGCTGACAGATCCAGGTGGATGAAATTTAGTATACCGCCAGGACCTACATCGGACATGATGATCCAAGCTCCGCCCAAAACTGGCGTAGCCTGTCGTATAAATGAGGCGGTATAACCGAAATCGGGGTTTTTTTGGAGGGGGGGGGGGTGGTTTTTTCATTTAAAAAATGTTGGATGCTCCAAAACATTAAATTTGAATTGCATTGTAAATTTGAAGAGAATCTATTTTTATGTTAAGTAGTGTATTCTTACTCCATGAAATGACCCAATAATCTAATTTGAAATATTTTACCGAAACAGCAGAGTAGAATATCAGCCGCGCACAGGCTTCCAATACAATAGTTCAGAACATTCCGTAGCTAAAGTACAATAGATCAGAACTTTCCGTAGCTTAAATACAATAGTTCAGAATATTCCATAGCTAAAATACAATAGTTCAGAACATTCCATAGCTAAAATAGCTAAAGTACAATAGATCAGAACTTTCCGTAGCTTAAATACAATAGTTCAGAATATTCCATAGCTAAAATACAATAGTTCAGAACATTCCGTAGATAAAATACAATAGTTCAGAACATTCCATAGCTAAAATTCAATAGTTCAGAACATTCCGTAGCTAAAATACAATAGTTCAGAACATTCCGTAGCTAAAATACAATAGTTCAGTTCATTCCGTAGCTAAAATACAATAGTTCAGAACATTCCGTAGATAAAATACAATAGTTCAGAACATTCCGTAGCTAAAATACAATAGTTCAGTTCATTCTGTAGCTAAAATACAATAGTTCAGAATATTCCGTAGCTAAAATACAATAGTTCAGTTCATTCCGTAGCTAAAATACAATAGTTCAGAATATTCCGTAGTTAAAATACAATAGTTCAGAACATTCCGTAGCTAAAATACAATAGTTCAGTTCATTCCGTAGCTAAAATACAATAGTTTAGAACATTCCATAGCTAAAATACAATATAGTTCAGAACATTCCATAGCTAAAATACAATAGTTCAGAACATTCCATAGCTAAAATAGATTAGTTCAGAACATTCCATAGCTAAAATACAATAGTTCAGAACATTCCATAGCTAAAATAGATAGTTCAGAATATTACGTTGCTAAAATAGAAATCAAAGAAAGGGAAGGAGCATTTGAAATTAAATTATTAGAAGAATTGTAGAATTTAATGAAATATGTTTTTTTTTTTCATTTATCCACAATGTGAGAAGGAAGTAGACTACGGAAACATCAGATATTTTTTAGATATTTGGTGAAATATACATCATATCTAACACTTGCGGGTGCAAACCACAAACTCAGACAGAAGAGAGAAAACTATATATTACACTTTTTGCTGGACTTGGTTATACAAAACCTTTACTTGCACATTTATTAAATATTAGGGGGTAATCGATTTTGAACTTTCTTATAATGAATGAATGCTAAATTTAAAACTTTAAAAAAATGTCTGACAGGCAAAAAAAATTATATTTTAAAAATTCTATGTGAAACTTTATTGAATTATTTACAACACGAAAACTAACCAGCTGAAAAATATGAAAGCACTTTTTCGACTATTATTTGGAATTGACTTTTTAATCTTTTAACATTTTTAAAATTGGTGGTTGAATCTGCATTCAGCTTAAATTTTTTCATGAAAATGAGGTATGTGACATTTTAAGTTTTTTTTTGCAAAAGAAGAAGGTCAAAATTTGGCAATCAAAAAATGAGTTAAAACCAAAAATTTAGGAAGGATTTTTATTGAATAGAATTTAAAAAAATGTTGAAAAAATACAGAAAAATATGTCTGATTTTTTAATTTGTCCACATCTAACCTTTGGAGTTGATTTGAGAGCGATGAGAACTAATGAGTTGGCTGCAACTATTTATTTGCATTCATTTATTCATTCAATATTTTTAATCAGTTTAATTATCTACCCATTCCTTTATTCATCCTTGTATTCATTCATCAAATTATGAATGATTTATCAATTCATTTATTTACTCATAATACAACAATTAATACTTTAATAATTACATAATTTATCAATTAATTTTTCATTAACACATTCATCCATCATTCAGTTTAATAATTCATTAATTAATTGATTCATTAACACATTCATCCATCCTTTAGTTTAATAATTTATTAATTAAATAATCATTTATATTCATCCATCCTTTAGTTTAATAATTCACCAATTAATTTATTCATTAACACATATTCATCCATCCTTTAGTTTAATATTCTATTAATTTATTTATTCATTTATATTCATTCATCCTTTAGTTTAATAATTTGTTAATTGATTTTTTCATTAACACATTCATCCATCTTTTAGTTTAATAATTTATTAATTAATTTTTTCATTAACACATTCACACATCCTCTAGTTTACTAATTTATTTATTAATTTAGTAATTAATTTATTAATTAATATTCATCCATCCTTTAGTTTAATAATTTTTTAATTCATTTTTTCGTTAACAATTTCATTAATCCTTTATAGTTAAATAATCTTTTTTTTCATTTCATTCCCAAATCATTCATGTCTATTTAGATCTTCTTTATTTCATTTACTTTTTATTCCACTTCTTTTCTCTGAAACTTAAAATAAAAAGAGGAGTAGGAGGGGGGGGGGATATTTTGCTTGACAAGTTAAAGAAAAAGAAAAACAAATGTGTATTTTCCATCTACAAAGACAAAGACATATTGTTATAACTAGCTTGAGGGGAATCCTTTCATCTTTTTATCATTCTTCACAATACAATTTATAATTAATATATTTTAATATTAAATATATTATTTTATCTTTTTTGGGACAAATATTGGAGATAGTGTTGCGTCCTTAAAATATAGTTGGGATAAAAGATGTAGAAAGATGAAGAGTAAAAGAGAAATGAAGATTGAAAATTGAAAGATGAAGAGTTCTGAGGATGAATAAAAGAAGAGAGGTGAAGATTGAAGAATAAAGAATGAACATGAAGAATTCTAAGAATGAATGATAAAAAAGAAGTGAAAATAAAAGATGAGAGATAATTTATTAGTTATGAGGATGAAAGATAATGTAATGACGAATTAAGGATGAAACATAATGAAATGTAGAATGAAGAATGAAGGATGAAAGTTAATGAAATGTAGAATGAAGGATGAAGGATGAAAGATAATGAAATGTAGAATGAAGGATGAAAGATAATGAAATGAAGAATGAAGAATGAAGGATGAAAGCTAATGAAATGTAGAATGAAGGATGAAGGATGAAAAATAATGAAATAAAGAATGAAGAATGAAGGATGGAAGATAATGAAATGAAGAATGAAGAATGAAGGATGAAAGATAATGAAATGTAGAATGAAGAATGAAGGATATAAGACAATGAAATGTAGAATGAATAATGAAGGATGAAAGATAATGAAATGTAGAATGAAGAATGAAGGATGGAAGATAATGAAATGTAGAATGAAGGATGAAAGATAAAGAATTAATGGCTGAAATGAATTCCTGAGAGAACTGCTATGATTGACATAAGTATATATAGGATTTGACTCAATATTTCAACCATCATGCATAAACCTAAACACAGATAACACGGATAGGACAAAAGAGATTAAATTCTTAAACTTTGGTAAATGAAAACCTAATTCCACATTACTACTTAATAGAAATATTAAGAGTTTCTGTCGTCTTCCTTTGCGTATAATCTTTAATATATTAAGGCAAAGCTTTGATTATAGTTTATCTAGCAGAATATTTAAGGTCTACAACATCGTGTCTCTAATATATTAGGCTTTAAAAATAAAGTTTGAGGCAGGTAATGTTCTACAGTTATAAGTTTTTCCTTTAAATAAGCTTTTCACAAACCTGCATTAATTATTAACTTTTAGTTTTCTATACTTTAACTGTAAACTTTGAATTTCAGCAAATAAATCACTTGATTTTGAAGTTAGAAATTCTTAACTTATTAATTTCTAAAAGTTATGTTCAGAAAATTTGTAATTGTTATGAAGTTCATAGTTCTTCAAATTAAAATATATAGAAATAATTTAAAACATTTTTCTGCAATGTTTTAGCTTAAGTTAAAGGGTCTGTAGACTTAATTTCAAATGATCGTCTATTTAAGAAGTATTTACGATTCCCAATATTACTCTTTAAACCTAAATCGAAGGAACAATTAGCAAGTTATTCTCATTTTTCTATATCTCGAAAAGAGCTTAATTCTGTCAGTTTTTTTCTTGTATTTCCTACACAAATCTGCAAAAAATAATAATGAGCCTGCAATAAAATATTATCAATATTCAGGTGGAAAGACAAGGATATTTGCAAAATTATTGCTCAAAGATTAGAATGGTAGCATTGTAAATTAGATAAAATATCATAAGATAAATTTGTAATCAGATTATTAAACAAAGACGACATTGATTACGTCTGTACGTACAATGTAAATATCCTAGTTGCTACTCCTGTATCCTCAATGTGTATCCTAGTTCCTACTGCTGTATCCTCAATGTATATCCTAGTTCCTACTGCTTTATCCTCAATGTATATCCTAGTTCCTGCTGCTGTATCCTCAATGTATATCCTAGTTCCAACTGCTGTATCCTTAATGTATATCCTAGTTCCTACTGCTGTATCCTCAATGTATATCCCAGTTCCTACTGCTGTATCCTCAATGTATATCCTAGTTCCTACTGCTGTATCCTCAATGTATATCCTAGTTCCTACTACTGTATCCTCAATGTATATCCTAGTTCCTACTACTGTATCCTCAATGTGTATCCTAGTTCCTACTACTGTATCCTCAATGTGTATCCTAGTTCCTACTACTGTATCCTCAATGTATATCCTAGTTCCTACTACAGTATCCTCAATGTATATCCTAGTTCCTACTACTGTATCCTCAAAGTATATCCTAGTTCCTACTGCTGTATCCTCAATGTATATCCTAGTTCCTACTGCTGTATCCTCAATGCATATCCTAGTTACTACTGCTGTATCCTCAATGTATATCCTAGTTCCTACTACTGTATCCTCAATGTATATCCTAGTTCCTACTACTGTATCCTCAATGTATATCCCAGTTCCTACTGCTGTATCCTCAATGTATATTCTAGTTCCTACTACTGTATCCTCAATGTATATCCTAGTTCCTACTTATCCTCAATGTGTATCCTAGCTCCTACTACTGTATCCTCAATGTGTATCCTAGTTCCTACTACTGTATCCTCAATGTATATCCTAGTTCCTACTGCTGTATCCTCAATGTGTATCCTAGCTCCTACTACTGTATCCTCAATGTGTATCCTATTTCCTACTGCTGTATCCTCAATGTGTATCCTAGTTCCTACTGCTGTATCCTCAATGTGTATCCTAGTTCCTACTACTGTATCCTCAATGGTTTCCACGGAAGCAATTTCTAAAAGATAAGGTTTTGGTTAATCCCTATTGTAGCTCAGCTAAACTAATTCTTCAGCAAATATATCCTCATCTATCTGTCTGTCTATCTATCTATATATCTATCTATCTGAACTATATAAAGACGACTTTAATAATGAAAAATGTCTTACATAAAGTTTGAATAACCATTTGTTAAAGATTAATTGAATCCCTTCTTCGTATTAACAGCTGGCAGGCTATTAAGGATGGATGTCATAATCGTTTATAATTAATCCAAGTCGTAAGGTTGGGTCAATTTTACTGTGGATATAGAGATCAAGCATTGATCTCTTTCTTGTGCAGATCTACGGATCAATTTGATTTCTCTTTGATATCCTGTGCGGTAATCGTACCGTGCAGGGATAGGTTAAATGAAGAGATAAAGAATTGATCTCCAAATTAAAAGTGCCCGCAATGGATATCGAGATCTGTGGATCGGGATTATGGGTATCCAACAGAAAATTATCCAGCTCTGGTCAATCACTATAAATAAAATACATTGTATTTGTCGTCTATTGATGATCCTCCTCCTGCCGTATTTAGTTTTAATTCTGGTAAATTCAAATTATTTTGAGAGTTTTTGTCCACGACTAAAAGGGAAAAATTACAGAGAAAGATTATTGTATCTGTCTATCTACCTCCTACTTATCCTACCAATCAATCAATTATCTGTACATACAAACCTACCTCCATATCTTTGTATATATCTATCTATCTATCTATCTATCTATCTGTCTATCTATCCTAACATGTTTCTCCTTAATCTAACCTACAAAGGAAGCACTATATATTTGTTGTGTTGTGTTAGAAATGCAATTTACTCTCCAGTCTCCAGGTGTAGGTGGAGAACTTGGAGAGAATGGTTTAAGGAAATTGAAACCTCTGTCCCACAACTAGACTTGAGGATATCATATAGAGAGGACATATATATATCAAAACAATAGGGCTCATATCATTTCTTCAATAATTGAAAAATGTGAAGAAGTTGATGATATCTAAAATACCTAATCACGTCTAACTAAAGTAAATTGCACATAAGATTGAAATATAATATGTTTTTAATCGTCACTCCTCCTATTGAACAGCTATCGAGAAGAACAAAAAAGTATTAAATTTCTTCAACGTACCTGGATAAAGGGCTTAAAATAAAACTAGAGGAGCTAAACGAGATCACAAAGTTGTACTAACAATGTTGCATACATTAGACCTTCTTCTTTTGTATAGTCTGCACTGCATCTAATATAAGACGAACATTTCCTTAGAAGTAGTAAGGTGAGAACAGAAATTGGATAATAGAAATTAGGTACTTTGTACTAGATACTGGATACTGGCTACTTGATACTGGATACTGGATACTGGATACTGGATACTGGATACTGGATACTTGATACTTGATACTGGATACTGGATACTTGATACTGGATACTAGATACTGGATACTTGATACTTG